AGCCAAAAACGTCTGATGTGGATGCTGCAGCCATCATCCCACCTCTGTTGATGCAACATTTGCGCATCATCAGCTGCTGGATGTCTTGTTGAGATTAAAAATATTCTGGAGAGTTACTGCCTGCTTAGCAAAGGGAAAAAAAATAGAGTCCATGGCAGAAAGGGAGGGGAAAGGAAAAGCCGAAACATGAGCTCGTAAGCCTGTTATGGAGGATAAAGGCAGGCTTTGTTTTACTTTACTCAAACCAAGTATGAACAAGAGGAGCATCACTATTTGGAGCTTCAACTGCAAGATTGGTTTTATACGCAGTCACTACTGCCAACTTTTTACCCCTCACAAAACTAAACTATTCCTCTTTCTCCAAACTAGCTGCAGCTGATGCTCAAGTGGAAATCCATACAGTAGGAAAGAGTTCTTTCTGCCCTGCCAAGAAATAATGACAATTCTGAAGCACACAGAAATGTATTCACATAGAGTAAGAACAAACCTTGGTAATAGCTGACTCTGTCCTGAAACAAACAAGCAAATTAAATATTTTTTTTTACAAAAGTATCACTTGACAGACACATTGGATATCCAGCCACACTAGGCAGAGTTAGGCAACAGATACTAAATTGGAGATGCATATTTGGACAAGACGTGACAATCCCATTTCCATTTCCAACTGCAAAAGTCCATCCAAAAAACACAACGTTAGAAGACAGTCTTGTGAGATTAGAGGACAAATACCAGTCAGAAGGTCTGTCCTCCAACAGAAACACTACCCAGCGGCGCTGCCTCTGAAAGACCTCAGGGGCAACAGTAAAAGGCAGCAAGGGGAAGCGCAGCCTGGATTGTAGCTTCTTGCTCTTCGGAAAAGGCGAAGAGGGTGGTAATTTACCGTGTACGACGAAATTGTACATGAAAGTTTAAAAACAGCCAATTAAAGCTAACATTATGGAATGGAACGGCGGGTCCAAGTGGAACGCGTTAGCTACGCATTCCAAACACGGGCTGGAGCCCGCCCGCAAGGCGGATACTGTATGCAAAGTACAAAGGGTCAAGGAGTGCTTCTCCAGGGAAGCCCAGCGCTGCCCGGAGGAGCGAGTCGAGTCGCCCACGTTCTCACAGCAGGGGACAGTGCCAAGGCTGCAGGGCCCCTAAGTCACCACTGGCACAGGATGCTACAGGCAAATACCATGCGAGGAAAGTGTTGGCCAAGGAAGGGCAGATCTCATTAAGAATCAAGTTCACCACCTCCAAACGCCAACAGAAGAAATCTCTCTCTTAGAGTGCTGGATCAAGGAAGGAAAATAAATCCATACTGAAAAAAATGGCCCTCAAGACTCAGTTCACTGTAACCAGATTTTCAGCAATCACACAAACGCTGCAACACCTATTTGTTTTAGAACACAGATTTGACTCAAAACTCAAATTCTAAAGGAGATTCATTCCGTACTCTGGCCTCTGGCTTTAGGTCCACAGCAGGCAATGCACTGCAGTTTGGTATCACATCAGGAACACACAGGTGCTCTCCGTGGCTCAGCATTCCATCAAGCCACATCACACTGCACCAACTGATCTTCTGGGAAGCCACCATCAGATATACAGAACTACTGCATGCTTTCTGCTAGGGCGTTGGAAAGGCTTTTGACAGTACATTTATTTTTATTTAAAATCTTGCTGAGTAGGATTGCTCAAGATATACAGCTCATTTCAGAATAGTCCCAAGGGGTCAGCAGTCAGGTAAATCCCACTTCCCAGTACTTCAGGACGAAACAAACTCTCATGCCTGATACGCTATCCAAACTGACAACTCTACAAAGCAATCTGGATGCTGTAGGAGCTGTGCTATTTGCTTCACACCAATACATTTTTCATATAATTAATAAAAACTGACAGCAATAAAGAAGGTGATGTAAAGGAGGAAAGCAGTTAGGAGTTTAACTACTAAATAAACCGGACAATAATTGCCAAGTTTTGAATTCATACTGGATTAAAGGCCCTGAAGTTTAACGACGTGTAACAACAGAAAGAGACTGTAACAGTTCTTTAATTTTTTTCCAACAGCAGCATCAGGAGGAAAGGTAAAACTGCTTTCATTAACTGGGAAAGCTAAGACATTGTAACTACATAAAGATCTCTTAACTGACAGCAGAATAAGCATCCTAAGAAGATATTCATATTTTTCAATGGTTGAGTAATAAATCAAATGATCTGGAAAGATTAGTTAGATGACCTACCTAATTGTTTTAAAAGACTTACTGGTGCAAGTGATCCAGTTCAAGTACAAACTTCTCTGGACCCCAGTGCTGCAGGGCCTCCTTTTGGCTGCAGGGCTGCAGAAGTGTGAATGGCCCAGGTGGGCTCTGAACTGCTGCTTCTATACAAAGCTATAAGTGTGCAAGGCACCTCACAGATACACACAAGGATCCCTGCTTTAGAAAGCTTACAGGCTGTAGGGGGCAAGTGGTAGCTCAAACAATTTAATCCTGGACACAGCCAGGTCTCTTCATTGCTTCAACTTTTATGCATAGAAAAGCATGCATCTCGTAAGGTGAACGTACAGAAACCTATTTACAGAAAAAGTCCTTTCATCTCACAAATTCATAATTGGAAAGGCTTTCTTTTAGGTATTTTGAAGAATCTTCAGAGCTGCACACTTCAATGCAGCCCTACAAAGCAATTTCATAGTCCAGTTGAAAACCTATATAAACCAAAACATGCTGAGATTATCATAGATATGTCACAATAATTCAGAACAAGTTCCTTAGCATTTTCTCTAGAACTGAATAAAACAAAACCAGTGACTTGGGAGGGCAGGCACTTCATGTAAATGAAGTTTGTAAGCAGCCACATCTGCTGGTTAAGTAAAATACCAATCAAGATGAAAACTTTCACTAAGGCCAGAGCTGTGACCAAGAAGAGCCAGCAAAAGAAAAAGCACAACAAGTCTCCCTCCCAGCAATTCATCCCACACACATTCACTCTCCTATGTTTCACTTGGTAATTAAGGACTGCTTTCCCAAAACTACATTCTAGAGCTAGAACAGAGGCTGAAAACATCCCCAGGGAAGTGGGAAGCAAGCCTCCAGCAAACAAAGTCTGCTCAGAATGCATGCTGCTCTGCCCAGCTCATGTGATCATGCCTCAGGAATGCTGGCACTGCTGAAGTTATTTCATGGAAATACGAACAGACTAAGAATGCTAGATAAACAAGAAAGTGGCATTGACTGCAGAGCAGTAATTTTTCTACATACCTGTAAATTTACATTTTCATTGCTAAGGAAAGGAGTGAGGTAACCAGGACACTTCAAGACAACACTGGTCACTGCAAAACTCACCGAGCAGCAAGTACCAGCACTGAGCCAGCTTAGATGCTAGAGGTGCCATGCCTGACGCCCAGCTAAATCCTCCACACTTACTAAGTTGTCCTCTGTGATGCAGCTCCTCAGAAGATCAAGAGAAGCAACTCCTAAACACAATTTGGTACAAACCAGCATCAGAAGCACATCAAGAATATCCAAAGATTACACACACCTTTGCAGGAAGCAGTTTTCAGATGCTTTTGCCTTGTACAAGTTTCTGTATATTCTCACTATTACCTTCTACACATTGTTAGGTCTTGTTTCAGGCTCAAGTCTTCTATGCTCAGTGAATAGATTCCAAATTAAACAACAGAAACTAGATTGATAGAACAAGGGATGGAGGACTCAGTATGTAAGCTTCACTGTAAGTGGACTCTAGCAAATACGCTTCATCTGTTATCTAAGCACTTTGGCATTCACATAAATGACGGAGACAACTGTCGTTGAAGAAGCAAGTAATAACAGAAAATGAGAAGTACAAAGGAAATTTATTAAATATATTCCTACTGACAATTTACTGTAGATTTCAAAATTAAATACTGTTGGAAGAATTCATGGAAGTATTCACAATAAATTAATTTTATTAATGATCTTTAAAATGCCACAGTTGATCTGCTTTTGAGGAAAAAACTACCTCACTGTACTGTAAAAATATGAAGTTGAAATAGTATATATAGAGAGAAAAAAGCAAGTAATTTAGGTAAAGAAAATGAAATTGTCTTTAATGACTGTTTTTTTTTACTTCCATGCAAACTAAACAGATAAGTATCACATAAATGGATATTTATATTTTTTTTTTCTCTCACATGTTTACATTATTTTCAACTCTGGAATGTAAAAGAAAAGCAAGGTAGGCATCACATGGGGAAGAGAACCTGAAGGTTCACAAGTGTGGGGGGATAACTTCTAAAAACAGCTATTCACTTGGTAGCAACCATGTTTTAAACAATATGTGTTCTCTTTAGCTTAGAAAAATTAGTTAAATTTTTAATGAGAAGATTTGCTGCCTCTCTTAAAGAGCTAGATTTAAAACTCTGTTTTCCCAGGAAAGAAAGAAATCAACATCCAAGAGAACACACGTTGTAGGATGGGATTTACCAGCAAAATGAAATCTTTGACGTTTGCAGTACCAAGAGACAGCAGCGACAATCCATTCCCATTGCCAACAGCCCTGGGCAGGCAGAGAAGCCTATTGCACTACAGGAGTACCACTGAAGTAGAATTCAAGCTTCCATACTGCTAAACATGGAAGCAAACAGAATATATAATAATTTAAAAACATCCAAACAGACAACATCAAATAAACAGAAGCGCAGCAAGACAGCAGCAACTCTGCACCTCTGCCAAAAGCCATTCTAAATCACAGACCACCAGGGCTCCCTTAAGTTTAATTCCTATCCCATCACGACAAAACAACCAATGTGAGCTTTTAATGGTACAGACATCCTTTCCTCATCTCTTCCTCTTATACAGAAAGTAGGGATTAGTAAAGGAATTGCTTTTCAACTGTTTCCCACTGCACTGTCCCCCTCCTCATTCCCCCTCTTCTCACTGTTTTTAAAGAAAAAATATTTATTTTTCTTCATACATGGAATTGCCCTGCTTATGAACATCGAGAAATAAAACATCCTAGCTCTAAGCTGTAAGATCAACCTGCTGCATGATTCATTCCCAAACATCCAAGAGGTGCACAGGGGGAAGGTCTCACATCTTCCACTTTCCTCCAAAAAACAGGTAAGACCAACACTAAAAACAAAGCCAAGGCTATGAATGTCTCTCTATTGCCAGCTTCAGTGTTCTGGCACAGCAAGAAAATAAAACATGCTGCAATAGCCAGGCATCAGCTGAATTCAATAAGCCAACAATGCATCACTAAGATAAACTAATGCATAATGAAAGAGTACTAATCACTGCTTAATTCAATGCTGAAAGCACTGAGAAAGAATACAGCCTTGATGACTAAAGCTCAATGTTTTGGGAACAGAGGTAGAGATAGCACAACTCAGGCACCTGGAATATTTTGTAGCGATTGCTATTACTACTTAGCAGCAAACTATCTTCTCCAGAACACATAATTTTGGAAAACTCTCCTGATGTGCTGTTTTGCTGGCTGAGTACAAAGCTGTCTGCCACCTTGCTACTGCCCAATCATCCCTCATTTCAGCAAGGACTGATGCTATGCAATGCTCTGCTTCTTATGACAAGCTGTACTCAGTGCAGTATTTCAACCAAACTGATCCGAGCTACTTTTACTGTTTCTACACAGTACCACCTTAATGCTTAATAAGAGATTGCAAAAGTGCTTAAAACAGTATGTGAAAGCTTTGGAAGGGATATGATCAACTAATTTAAAATGTCACATTAACCAATTCCGTATTTACCCCGGGTTGACTCAATTATATGCAAGAAAACAGGAAAAAGATTCCATACACCTGACATCACTTTACATGTGGTCTACAGTTTTCCCAGCTAAGGCCTACAGTTTTCTTAACAGGACAAAACTAAAAATCATGAAAATCAAAGGAAAAAGAACATAAAAAGCAACAGCGTTCAACCACTGCATGAATTTCCATAAAGCATTCTTTAAAAAAAAAAAAAAAAGTGCTCATTTCTGGTACAGGATTGGGGTGAAAAACAGTCAGCAGGGCTTCAGTTTGAGGACAAATATTAAATATATATAAATACGTACACACACACATGTACAGATATGTAATGAAAAAACACACAATGCTCCCTCTCCCCTCCAAACCTTTTGGTGAATACAGTTCTGTGATGGAAACATCCGGAGATGAAATTTCAGTAAAAATGGGACTGTCAGCCATCAATCAAATAAAAAATAAACAGATCAGGCAATTTCAGTTCAGACCTTTTTGTTTCTCTTAACCATAAGAATACTTTCTCTGAGAAAAGTTTGGCACAGCTCAGTTTCGCCAAAATGCATTTCTCATATTGCCCTTGGATGGAATAAATACCACCACAAAGACAGAAGTGAACTTCTTCCCACAAGAGATTCTGCAGAAATACCAATTTTGGACAGAATGAGGCAGCATTACTGGAAATCCTAATACACAGTACAGAGCAAAAGGTGAGCTCAATGACAAACATCACCAAGCATCACAGCTTCATCAGAAAGCCTGAAAAAAATGGAAGGATCTCAGTTGCTGGTCAGGTGAAAAGGATAAGAAATGAATGTGTTGGTCTCCTATTATAAGATAAAAACCACAAGGTCAGCAAATCAAAAGAGGAAAACTTCCTTAGGGATGCCCAGTTCATCATTTTAAACATTAAGCAATACAGAGTATGTCACACTTTAGGATAAATACAATCAACAATTGTTTCAAGTTTTTTCTTTATGCATTCACATATATATATACATATATGCATACACAATTTTGGTGCAAAAGTCCACTTTTGAAGCATTTTTTTAATATGAGGAAGGAGAAAAGGGGATAAGCCATTCTTGATTTGTCATTTCAAGCTGTAACTTTGCCAGACACAGGACCAAGTGTCAGTGCCACGTGCTCAGAGCTGGTTGCTCAGGCGAGCAGCACCACTGCAGTGGGCATTTCTCTGTCGTGCTTTTCAATTCTGATCCCACTGAGATCAGGAGAAGATTCTGACGCTGAGTGCTTTCTACATCACTTCATCACAGCCCTACCACAGTGCCAGACACCAGCACCCAGGCTAACAGTGACAGAGCCAGCGTGCTCTGAGCACTCCCCATCTGGGGAGCCAAACCCAGCACCACCTCATTGCTGTAGTATGCTGGGAATTGGCTCTGGTACATCACCCAGACACCTACACTGTGCCACACTTACTGCTTTCTATGACCAAGACACCAGAGTGGCTCCTCACTCTACACGGTAGCAGCAGCCCAGCAGCATGTGATGGCCAAAGGACTGGGACGTGCTGCTGCTACCTTACACGTGTACCCTTCTGTGTATACCCTAAGTCACTCTTTAAATCATTTCACATACTAGAATGTCAGTGTGGATAACCACTGCCAGAACACAACACAGAATCCCCAAAGTCAACCACAGGTTCAGGTAATCGTGACCTCCCTTTTTACAACATAAATGCATAATTTCCGTACTACTCTTTGATGAAGGGACCACAGACTTGAAAAGAGGAAACAATTACAGTCATTAGAATTTCATCCAAGCATGAGATTTAATCTCGGGCCATAGCCTTTCCAATGGCTGTGGGGGTCTCAATGGAGACAAAATTGCTCTGTGGGAGAAAAAAATGCCTCGATGATGACATTAGTCAGCAAGAGAGACCGAGCTTTGTCTTCCATCCAACAGTACGGTTAAATACAAGGAAACCATTTTCCCTCTCCCTCTTGATCCCCAAAAAAAGAAAAATACAACTATTTTGTTTCCTTCTCTGAAATGCAGCTTTTGCATACTTTGGAAACTTTCTTCTCCAAAGCAGTAATGCTGGAAGGGAAGTGTTTAATAACGAGAGGAGTTTTAAGCATGAATAAACGTCTGCAACAAAAGACATTTTCCCTTGCTGACCCTGGTTAATGTAAGCGGACAGTCCTACCAATAGTTATCAAGTATTCCCATAGCTTTCCTTGCCCAACAGGTTCCCAAAGACTACTTCAAATTTTACAGATACAGAAATCATTTCCAGAATATACCCACCTGTTCTACGATGCACACACTGGAAATAAAAGAAACATGAAATAATACTACAGATGGAGGCAAAATTCCACAATTCAAAAGATCAACTAAGATCTGAGACTACCAGCTGCCATTATATGCCAACCACATGTTGCACCCCAAATAAGAAGTAAAAGCAAGGGAAAACTTTGGCACAGAAGATGAGAAAGCACTGCAGGGGACTGCATTAAATTCACTTTTATGGCACTGTAGAAAAAACAGATCTACAGTCAGCTAAACAACATATTCATGATCCTTCTATGGCAAGAACTGAAAGAAAATAGCTTTTTAAACAAGCAAATCATTAACCCGAAATGAATCATCTCATCTCTCCAGGCTGGGCTGAGGGGCCTGCTTTCTCACCTGGGCAAACTCTAAAATTCTCAAAATCCAAACTTAGTACAGGAGAGTGTAAAAATAAATAAATGAAAATTCATCCTTTACCCTTAAGGTACTGCTGAATACAGCCAGCTCAGTTTTGTTTAAACTCTGCTTTATTTCCTTTTTTTCTGCTCTGCTGTCATATCCCACATATATATTGGCTACTTGAAGCCACCCCTAGTGCTGGTAATGCTGATAATTACTATCTAATGTAGAATTAATCAGCTTAAGTTTGGAACAGAGATCGTAATTCAAATTGGAAGCCAACACTAACCATTTCATGTTCACTTGAAGAGATTAGATAGGCTGTGCAAGAACATTTTGGTAGAATAACTGATAAGGAGATGGGAAATAAGAACTATTGGTATTTACTTAGCCTGCAACGCTTCTGGAAGCAAACAGTTTAAAGGAAGCACTTCAGAATGGCTATTTAATCTGAATTTTACAGATAGCACTGAGAACACTTCCTCACAGAACGCATGGCATCTTTACAATCAGTTACCACACAAGCTGTTCAACTCTTTCTTTGCGGGAGCTCTCACTCAATTTTTCTGTGTTACGAGCTGTGACCCAAAGAACACAACGCATTCAAGAACCAGCTGAAGTTACCACCACTGAAGATGTGCCTCACTCCTCAGCTTGCTGAGCCTTGGGGTTACAGAGAGAAAACAGCTCTCTGCCACATCACAGGAACAGCTTCTTATTCCACTCACAGACTTCAGCAATGACTTCAGTGCGCAGCTTCAGCTTGCTTTCTTAGCTGGAAGATTCTTCCATCTGCATTTTGGTTTTGTAAATGTTTTGAAAAACAGTACAACAGTCATGCAAGAACACACATTACTACTGCTAGCAAAAAAAAAAATATTAAGGAAGATAAGCTAAACTATTAAAAGTGGGTTTTACGCATAAGCAATGTATCATTCAACTTGTATCTACCATCTACTATTTAAGGACAGCTTCTAAATCAAGCTGTACAACAAATGCAGTAGAACCTAATCAAGAAACTGGTTGAATAAGTAGACCACTGTGAATTGCTAAACTGGACTATTTAGCAAGGAAATGTATCCATCATCAGTAGAAATACTGCTTCGAAAAATATGCTTTAAATTCGTGTTGAAAACAGCAACTCTAGTTACAAACATGCTTCATATTCTTCAGTAAGTTGAAATAGGTTTTCTGCAGGTATTTCTAAGACTTCATGAGAATATCTTGTATTTTAAAACATCTGAAAAAGGATTAACAACGCTCGATCGCTGTCCCAAACAGCTCATAGAAACTCAAGCTAGAATGAGGGAAAAATGAAATGAAAGGGCACGTAGTTATTTGATGAATGCTAGCACACAGCATGACGGAACAAAGAAATTCTGTTTTTAAATCAATAGGGAAAATGATCAAACAGAACCAGTCAGCACCACTACAGGACTTGGTTATTATGTTTTCCTGAGAAGCTGTCAAATTTGTGTGTCAAACACTGAAGTGTGAATTAGCCCAATTTGGTTGTATATAAGCAACTGTGTGCAAAACCACTCAACAGCTTTGTAGAAAAGTTGTCCTATATTAGGAAAAGAATTCCGACATTCAAACAAGTTTCACTAAAGCCACTCCTTTACAATCTATATTTAAGATGGAGAATGAAACTACAAATCACACCTTCGGAACAAGATATGCACCTTTTTAAAACAGAATACAACTGAATACTACGTCTCTTACGGAATTCTAAAGTGAAGCAGAAGAGAATGTAATTACTCAATACAGCTTTTAAGATCAGAAGGTGATGGCTTTCTTTTAATCTTTTCAACCCGTAAGTCAAAAGGAAGACTGCTTTTTCCTCTACTACTACCTAACAGTTGATGCACGGTTTAGAAGCACATTGAATCTACTGTAAATAGAGAAGTTAGCTCCAAGCTGAAAATGCAGAAGAGAGCATTAACACAGAAATCACAGCATAGGCTAGTCTCACTGTTACCTCACTCAAAAAACATTACTATGGGTAGAAATGAGAAATAATGTATAATCAGTGGAAAAGTAGAATAATTTGTTATGATATCGATTAAAATTCCACGTGTAGACCACTGTTCTGGTACACACAGGCAAAAGGAAATTTGATTCCACTCCTGATCTCACACAAGCCCTACACAGCACAGAGACAATTCAAAGTACATTTAGTACAACCACCTTGCTTTTAGTGCGCTAAATAAAGTGGGAAAACAGAGAAGAAAAAGTAGTTGTGTACACCAAATTTCACGGCTCTGACATTCTCAATTGCTTTACAAGTTCAACTAGGTGAGAGCCATTTCTCCCCCCCACATTCAACTTCCATGAAACCCAGTTGTTTTGTCCCATCTGTAATGTAATGTAAGACAACACCGTGTATTTTTATTGCTTAAAAAATGCTATCCAAGTTGTAAATGAAGTAAGACTAACCTTCCTTAAAACACAGAGGTCATTTTCTTTAGGAAGAGGAAAATTAAGCCCCAGTTGAGTTCCAAATCTTCTACTTAATGTTGGCTCGTTTCAAAGTAAGGTCACTTCAT